ATTGAAATACATTTCATAAGTTAAATTGAAATACATTTCATAAGTTGAATTGAAATTACAAATTTTATTACTCACCAAGAACTCAACTCAACAGTGTGATCAAGTCTTTTTTGTAGCACTTCAAGTTGCTTTTTATATTCATTTGACTTTTCAACGTAGTCTTCATGCCATTCTTGTTCGGCCATTGGTTCATCAGCGAAAAGATGGGACTCGGACTCTCCGTGATTTTCATCTATTATATTATATTCCTGGTCATTAATGTTCCTTGTTTCATCTTCGATGACATAACCGGGAATATAATCATACTCCGAATCACATTGCGAACTATGAGAGCTTTCCGAATCAGAATTCAACTCCGCCATCTAATTGTCGATAACAAGACCTTGATTTGTTCCTTAAGTTACGTCACAGAGACTTGATCCAGGCCCTATGCCAATTATCAACTTTTACTGTCAAATTTCATATTTGATCAATAATAATTCGAAAACAACGCAGCGCATGAAAAAATTGTAATATAAGTTTCAGATTACTTTTGAAGAAGCAATACGAAAGTGCTATAAAAAAAATTGTGAGATATGCACTTTAAGTGCGACATAAAAATCACACACTATCTAATCTTTCGCAAAGTCATTTCTCCATTTACGGCAAGATTTGCTCCTAGGTATTTCAAATCAAGTAATAAGTTGAGTGAAATTGCTGTCTTCAAATAGTTATGAAGTGATTTTATAGCCCTACTTATTGAGTGTCAGTGTGGGTGGAGTTTTAGAATGCGGACGTTAATGTATGTGCCTTGTGCAAAATTTTAAATCAAATGACCAAATAACTGTCTAACCCTTTCTAATTTGCCAAATGCCCTTCCAGCCTTCCTTACATTTAATGTCACATAATTGTGGTCACATCTATTGTTCATCATTATACACAGAATAATAAAAATACATATGTAAGAGCCACTTAATTGAAATCTTTTGGACATTCTCATCATATGTCTATTAAGCATGTGATTTTCATAATGGCAACCAGTCAATTGCCGTTCATCACTAATAAACATCATACAGTGTTGCAGAATATTGTGCTCCAGTTTGGTCTCGCTCTAAACACATGAATAAGTTAGATGCATTGCTAAATGACACAATGCGAGCAATTTCTGGAACATTAAAATCAACTCCAACCCCTTGGCTACCTGTAATGAGTGCTATAGCTCCACCTAACATACGCAGACAGGAAGCAACACAGAAACAACATCATCGCATTGAAAATACACAAATTGACACTGCACTAAAAACTATTATCCAGTCTGCCCCAACTACTTCGAGACAAAAATCACGAAAACCTTTTCATAACTCCAAGATTGAATCGTTTGATTTCAACAATACATGGAAGGAACAATGGTCCGAAAATAAACCAAGGGGTGCTGATCTAATTAAAGATCCCACAAATCTCCCTCTCCTTGGTTTCAGGAAACTAACTCGTAAACAATGGAGCACTTGTAACCGAATTAGATCGAAACAGGGCAGAACAGCAAACAGCCTATACCGATGGGGCTACAAAGACTCACCAACTTGCCCATCATGTAACGTCACCAACCAGAATATAGACCATATCATCCTGCAATGTCCGTTCACACGCATTGAAGGCGGCTACGCAACAGTGCATAAAGCAGATGATGACTTCGCAAGCTGGCTTGATGAGACACACATGGAGGTGTGACTACCATACGAAACTACTACTACTAATAAACATGATGAAATGACATATTGCAGCAAAGAAGTCTAATTAAATATACACAATAATGTACAGTGAAGCGATCCTTGATTTTGCATTTTCATTATTGTTTGGTTTCAGGGTTGTAATGGCTATTTATTTTTCAGCTACAAGTTTGGCTTTGATTTTTATAATAAGTTTCAGTTCACAATATTCAAATGTAATTTTCGTAGTGTTAAGTGACAAAAGCAACTATGAGAAGTGAGAACAATGCAAAGAAAGACGTAAAATGTGTAAAAGGGTTAAATGACAAAGACTTTTTCAGCCAAAAAATGTTTCAAGACTAACGTTTATTTTACATACAAGCAGCTGGCGGAATCCCATTTAAATGTATGCGTATGCATGATATATTTAGAAAACTCAGGTGATTAATTCAAACATTGCAGTTGTTTATGCATCCTATAGCTGTGTATTGATATCATAAACCTTATGCAAAGTATTTCTCATTACTAACCTTCTTTTCATCGCAGCCGTGTGTTCTTCTATCAATAGCATAAACTCCATAATGAATGAATAGTACGGTGACATCTCAAATACCCTTAAAAAATACCATTTTTCTCCTCAACCTTAGCCGATTAATGTGTGTATGCAAAAGATGGTAGATAAAACGAAAGCTGATAGAAGAAAGCAGATAGACGAAATCCAATTGTTAGCTGCAGATGCGTTAAGATGTTATCCTGCTCTTCAAAAATTGACTAAAACAAACTATCATTCCAGGTAGATGTCCTTACTAGCACTATGATGCAACTGAAGATCTCAAAACCTAAACTTATATAGCAGTTTACACACAATGACCTAAAGTCATCATCAACTATAGAGGAATCTTACAAGACAAAAGTATGTCGAAAAGAAAAGTTTTGTTGCAATTAATAAGTGCAAAATAAGTATTTCAATTCTCATTTAAGGAAATTACAATATTGGTTTCTTTGCATAGTTATTGAATGATTACAATTATTATCTATGAGATTATTTGCTACATGCGACAGCTAATTCGGTTAACTTAACAAAAAAGGAGAAACCATGCTTTCTTAATGACATTTTTATTCGTGAATGGTCCGATTATTATGAGGAGAAATAGAACACTTCAATTTCGTTTAGACGAAATTGGTAGGAGCCACCCAACAATTTCTTTGCTTTTTTGCTCGCGTACGAATAGCCTGATGGAAGCGTGTACGTATGACCAAAGTTTGTGTACGAGCTTGTGCTGGTTCTGGCTTGTTGCCGATTTTCAAATCATGACCACCTCCAAACGTGGGTCCATAGCTGCTGCTTGTGTACATTGCATATTGTTGATATCTATATATTGAGGATTTGAAAGGGGCCAGACCAGCCGGGTTTTTAAGAGAAAAAATAAAAGAATCTGATGCTCTTATGTAACGGCTACTTCCTACAAATAAACAACATAAAACAATTACATTTCAATTAGAAATTCTTATTGCTTTCTTTAGTGATTATTTGTTAGTAATTTCCATTCCTTTTTGGTGAGTCAAAAAGATATTATATATTTATGCATGACAAATTTCTGAGTTCTGATTGGTTAGAAGCAATGAAAATTTCAGAGAAACACCAGTGCAAAGAAAGCGAAACACCAGTGCTGATTTGTCTTCTAATGATATACATGAAAAAATTTCTCAATTCTGATTGGTTTAGAGGAGGGAAATTTATCGTAAATACCAGTGCAAAAATAGGAAACACAGTGCAAAAAAAGGAAATACAGTGCAATTTATTTTTGAAAAATGCGCTCCTGACTGGTTAGTCAAACAAAAAATGATCTAAGAGCCAATCAAAATAAAACATTTCAAAAGCGGGAAAGTTAAATTATTGTAAACAAAGCAATTACAACGACTGGCTAAGTTTTTTTTAGCAAAGTGAATTTTCTTTAGCGAAGGAGTTTACAGTTCACCGTTTGCAAAGTGTTTCTGGATGAAAATAACAATACTGCTAAAAGTAGATACCTTGCTCTAGCTGCGTGTGCAGAAGTTATGGTGCCGTGAAAATAATATCCGACGGAATTGAAAAATACCAACCGGTTGATCAATGATTAAACTCGCCGGCTGCAATGTACGTACGCTGAAGTCAAAAATCAACGGAATTGAGAAATTTTTTCATGTATATGATTAATAAGGAATTGCATGGTTTCTCGTGCAATTTGAAAAACAGGCACTCGTGAGTTTTTCAAAGACTTCAAATTGAATTGTCCTTAGGACTTTTGATAGTCTTTGAAAAACTTACTCGTCCATGTTTTTCCCAAGTTGCACTCGAAACCATGCTATTACTTATACAAAGTGCACCTGATTAGTTAGTCAAACAAAAAGGTAATCAAAATAGAGCCAATCGAAATAAATCATTTCAATGGCGGGAAATTTAAGTTATTGTAAACAAAAGCAAATGGATACAATGGCTAGCGTAAATTTTAAGTAGATTTCTTTAGAAACCGAGTCTACAGTTCTGTATTTGGAAGACATTTCCGAAAATGCCAACACTTCTGGTTATAGCTACCTTGTTTTTGGCTTTGTGTTTGGAAGCAATGGTGTAAAAAAATTATTTGAACGAATTAAAAAATTACGAGCCGGTCGATAGTTATAACTTGCCAGTTGAACCGTGCGACGCTCAAGTCAAAAATTAACAGAATTGAGAAACTCTTTTATTTAGCTATATTATTAAATTATTTTTATGCAATTTGTAAATAATGGACTCGTTAGTTTTTTTATAACTTCAATTTGCATCTCGTATGCAAACTATTTATAACTATAAAAATATGGTTTGGTGCTGGTCAAAGTTGCAAAAAAACTGCGGGTAGACTGGTACTATCGGCGAATAAAATTTTCGAGGATGATTCAAAGTTGAATACTGGAAGTTAAGCACATGCATGCATGTACCCGTAACACCCGGTTCGCATAGCTGATGTGAGTAATATGATGTTGTTTTGACGAAGATTTTCAAAACATGATATCCCACCCTGACGAAGATTTAACTTTTTTATAACTCTGGTGTTGCTAAATGACAAAAGAAATATTGGGCTATATAACTTTAAAACAAGATGAAAGAAATGTAGAATGCATGTCCATAAGATAACTCCCATTGATTTTTTTATAACTAATACAGTTCATGCACTTATTTTAAAACATAGGTATATCATCCCCCCAATTATCGTTCTGACTACGTGCCTGCCGGCGTGTAAAAGATTTCAATAGATTTGTTTTTATAAATACATGCTTAAGTTTCCAAACAATTTATAATTAGAGCGGGCTTACAAGACTTTGATGCAAATCCTCCAAAATACAACCTCCATATTTAACAATGATCAGTGTTGGTCCCTTTGAGTCACAACAACTGTGGAATGTACTTGCTCTCCATCCATTCGATGTTGCTTTGTAACAGCGCTTCGTCTTTTTGCCATATAAATTCGAAGGTAACCATTTTTGAAGCTTTCCTATCCATTCTTGTTTATTTTTCAGAATAACTGAGTTCTGCAGGATCACTATAGGGGTGACAATGAAATTTTATGTTAAATTTTTGAACGTTTCACCCTTGTTTTGACGGATCTCTTTTTCATATAGACATTAACGTGGTTTGTGAAATTCCTCGTTTGAAACACGTCGCTAACACATACAAAAAGTTACGTATAACACCTCCAGTTAGACAACAAAGTTCCTCTAAAATCTGCGAGGAAGCCGTAGAATATTTTACCTAATATAAATTCCTAATATAGTGTATCACAAATTTTTTCTACGTTAGCTAAATGTGTTTACAATATCGTTTAAAAGGTGTTTACAATTTCTTCAAAATACATCACATTACTGGTGACAAAGATAGTTCACTTATATTCCAGAAAAGCATTTTTAACCTTCATAAATCAGTTTTGGCCATATTTTTACTCTAAAATGCACTCGCTTTACCACACAAAAACATGGTTTGAACCTTGCTTCTGGCAGTTATCTGTTGCACCGAAAACTTCCAAGTTGTACTTTTTTTTATTAGTTATTTATTCTGTGCACCTGTCCTTTATATTCGGCAAAAAATTAGACTACGAAAGACAGATTTGAAAATTATATCCCATTTTATTTCTTCATGTATGCATTTATCATTTCTTATAGTTTTGTAAAGATGGCTTTTGCATGATGTTCCAATTTTACGATATATTTCCATGGTATAAGTTTGGTGTAGGTATATATACCAAGACGCACGCGATTGTAGTTAACTAATAAACATTATTATCATTATTATGATGCCATATTTTCTTTAAAATTTGGTGTTATAACTTACATGGCGAAAAATAAAATGCTTCCACTTCGTTTGGAATAAATTTGTACGAGCCAGCCAATAAGTTCTTTGCTTTTGTGCTCCCGTAAGAATAGCCAGATGGGAGCTTGTATGTATAGCCAAAGTTTGTGTAAGAATTGGAATAGGACCCAGCATTGTTGGCGATATAAATGTCGTGACCACCACCAAATGTTGGTCCGTAGCTGCTGTATGTGTACATTGAATATTGTTTGTATCTTGTAACATTGGATTTAAAGGGTGCAAGATTATCTTTGTTTTTAGAGGAGAAAATGAAAGCTTCTGGTGCTTGTATGTAACCAGAACGTCCTCCTGTAATTTAACAGTAATACACAAAACACTTGAGTTAAAAGTTTCATATATGAAGATGATGTTGATATTTTCTATTTCACTAATCAAACTTTATGCTTCTTGACTGAAACAATGACCCGCTATACAAAACTTGCCATGAATTACTTTTGAAATTCAAGATAATTTGTTTACAATTTTTGCTAAGATTTCACTTCTATATGAAAAATTCGATGAGGATTAATTCTTAGATATAACGTCAACGTAAAATCTTAGACGTGCAGATATAAGACAACTCCACTTAGCCTTATTCAATCAGTTTGTCATATTTTTATTGTTATCATATTGAAATAAGCACTAAGATTGGCTTAACTATTGTTTGCTTACATATATATTTGTAATATTCCGACATGAGGAAGTTCCAAGCCTGTATATATCTATAGATTCCCAATAAAAGGTACCGAACATGCAAATGATATCTGTGTTATCCCTTACAAAATTTGCATTATATTATAAAAACTATTTTTTTCTGCGTGCCACATCATTTTTTATCTTAGAATGACCACTGAATTCAAAAGGTATTCACATGCAATTAATGTCATATAAGTCACTCGACCTTACCTCCCCAAGATTCTGATGCAAATGCCCCAAACACATACGATCCCTTTTTAATAATAACCAATGTTGGTCCTTTTGAGTCACAGCGACTGTGAAATGTCCTCCCTCCCCATCCATTTTTCGTTGCTTGGTAACAGCGCACCGTCTTTTTGTCATTCAAGTACGAAGGCAGCCATTGTTGAAGCTTTCCGATCCATCTCTTTTTGTCCTTTAGAATGCTTGAGTCCTGTAGGATTGCTAGACGTGAAAATAAAATCTTATATGAAACGTTTGAATTGCATGCTTTACTAAGCAAACTCTTTATGTAATATAAGGCAATATAAAAAGGTCGTTTAATTCTACCAGAGCTTTTGAAGGAGAGAAAGAATTTTGGTTTTGCCAAGAGAAATGTGAATTTAGCCTATTTATTTACCCCTGAATCTTTTCTTTATGCAATACATGCATATATGTTGCAGTTTGGCATTTACTGATAAAACAGCATTTACCAAACAACGCAGTGTAACCACATCCCTCATCTAACTTATTACACACGTCATAGCTACCTCACTGTTTTTTAGAGTAAGCTAAAAACATTAGATTTAGATAAGTCAGATTTGAAACGTATATTCCATTTCATAAAGTAATACAATAGGACCACAATAACATGAGCTCTTCGCGAGCTCAATGTAAATTTATGCAGTGCTCTGCTGGATTTGATTTTATTTAATTTATATCAATTTACTCGTTTTAACTTGACTGTGCATACTCGAACGAATTTCAATTTTACTTCAGGTCAAAGTTCCCTGGATGACTTGAGCTTTAATGTCGAAACATAAAAGGGTAAGCTTCAAGGGTAAAAATTATATAAGTAAAAAATACAACTTTGATTTAAACAATAAAAATTGATAAATCATGCATTCCACATAGTTATATAAGTTGATAATGAGTAATTTGCCTGAAAAGTATCAAAATTTTGATATTTCTGAATTTGTAATTATGAAAAGTTCGGTCTTGCAAAGTACTTTACTCACCCTTGAACTATTTGTATATTGCTGTGTTGCAGCTTACAATTGTGAGCGAATACTGAAATTACCCATGCCTTTGTATCATCATCTAATATGTACAAAGTATAAAAACTCACAATTTCTTTGAACCTCAAGAGAACACAAGTTATTGGGGTTTTACTGTACACACGAGTATTTTTTGTAGTTCTTGCATAATGAAATGTCTTTGCAATTTCAATTCCATGATTTCAAATGTCATGTCACGCGACTTGTGTCGCTATACACGCCAAACCACTGAATTTAAGCTGTTGTTTTTATGATGCCATATATGATTAAGATTTTTAATGTTAACTTACGTGTGGAAAAAGAATAGACTTCCAGCTCATTTGGTGTAAATCTGTATGACCCAGGTAACAGGTTTCGTGTTTTGGAGTTACCAGAAGAATAGCCAGATGGGAGCTTATATCCATAGCCGAAGTTTGTGTATGAGCTGGAACTGGATCCGGCGTTGTTAGCAATATAGATATCAAAACCGTATCCAAATATGGGTCCATAGTATCTATTTGTGTACATTGCGTATGCATTATTGGATGTATTTGATTTAAAAGGTGCCAGACCATCCTTGTTTTTAAAGGAGAAAATGAAAGAGTTTGCTGCTCGTATGTAACGACTGTTTCCTATAAATAAACAGACATACAAAATTACATTTAAGATGGAGCATTTGCGATGGAGCATAGGAATTCCGAGCACAGATATAACAATGCCATTTGTCAATTCAATATTTTCAATGATCGAATCTTGTAATTCTTAGTTGGAACTTTATGCCTCTTCATCGGCAAATCTCATATCTCTTTAATGTAAAGATAATCTATTTGTGATTTTGTCAATATTTTATTTTTAAAATGTTTCTTCAAAAAATCGACCACAAGAAGCCTCAGTAGGAAAAAAAGGCTTTGGACATTGTAAAATTAATGACAGGCCATATATAGAATATTAGTACATTTATAAAAATATGTTTTAGGTATAAGCTCATTAATATATATAAACAGGTTAAAAATTGAGCTAGCTGTTTCATCAAGGGCTAATCTTTCCGAAGTTTTTTTTTTACTAAAGATTTTCATGAAATTTGCTATAGTTGGATCCTGGGTTAAAAACTAATAGCTATGTCCTTTGGCAATGCTTAATGACAAAAGAAATGTCTTTTTATAGCTTTGAAGTAAGATTTAAGACATGTAGAATCGTAGCTAAATCCAAAAGAGAAATGCCAGTAATCTCCTTTGTAAAAAAATATTAACTAATAACTGTATTTCGTAGCCAGTTTTTGTTGGCAAACGTTTTCTTGCATTTATTATGAACTGTACCTCATATTTTTCTCTTTATCTTAGAAGACCTTATATATATGTTTTTAGTTCTATTGTTTAATAAAAAAGCCAATTTTCAACCATTCAGTTGTTTTGATATTAAGAGCATCATGCAGATGGGGGAACATTCTTGATACAAAAATATGTTCTCCCACGATTTCTTTATTAGCTACCTAATTTGAATTATTTTTAATTCTCAAATTAGTCTTATTTCTTGTTTTAAGAATAAATTCTTAGCTATATGCTTTTTAATTGGAAAAATACTCGTATAAAGAATTCATTGTATAAAAATTTCTTAACGAGAAAAAGTTGTTTAAGATATTCTCATGAAAAATTCATTCTTCTTTATAAATTTTTTTAATGATGTTCGAAAGATTGTCTCAAGTTACCTCCCCAAGATTGCGATGCAAATCCCCCAAACACATAAGATCCGCTTTTAATAATGACCAGTGTTGGTCCCTTTGAGTCACAACGACTGTGAAATGTGCTCCCACTCCAACCATTTACGGATGCTTTGTAACAGCGCTCAGTCAATTTGCCGTGTAAATTCGACGGCAACCATTCTTCAAGCTTTTCTACCCATTTCTTATTCTTTATAATACTTGAGTCCTGCAGGATTGCTAGAGATGAAAATGAAATTCCATATGAAACTTTTGAATGCTTTGTTATTGCTTTAAGTTAACTCTTCAGATATAAATCATTAAGAAAAACAAATTTAGCAATAAAGACTGTCTCGAAATTTTGTTTTACTATAGGAAGTGGCGTAAGTTTGAATTAGGCTGCCAGTAACTTTCCATAATGGGCTAACTTTTTCCCTCCTCCAAAGCTCTAACAACATAAAAAATTTCCCGACTAATCGTTAATATAACAATATTTATTTATATAATTTACTTTCAGACGAGCACTACTTTATAAAAGACTTTGAGTGAGATATATTCAGTGCTTCCACTTGCCCAAATAAAATAAACACTCATTTCATTCACTTTATTTTCATGAATAACTCCGCAAGGTACTTCCATGGAAAGTAATTGCTTAGGTGCCTACAGCTCTGCACCCAGAGCTCCTATACAGTTATGCCGCAAATTATAAGCGCATATTGCTAAGCATGCTCTAAACATGACGTAAGTTGACTTTCTGGGTATGAAGAGAAACATATAAAGTTTTGCCAAAAGCTAATAACCACTGCACAGTTATTTATGAAAATTATCTTTAAGTTCATGCATATGGTACAGTTTGACGATGAGTGAAAGCTCGACATCTATGAAACAGCATAACCGTTTGACACCTCTCCTACACGCACACTTATAAACACACACACGCACACAAACCATTCTCCATCACCTCTAACAGCCATATTTCTGTAGTTCAGATAGTGCAAAATGTAAGGCTTGAGGTCAGATTCGAGAACTGCATTCCTTTTTATATTTTTATACACGTTCCTTATTTTCCTATATAGCTAAATCATATATTGCAAAAGTCATGCACTTGTGATATATTTCCTTCATTGCAAGATTCTTGTATGTAGCAAGCCACCAGATTTTATCTTATGTAAAGTCAATAAAACTATATATTTATAATTCAAGTAGCATTTTTGATGCTGACTTACGTGTAGAAAAATAAAAAACTTCTACTTCGTTTGGAGAAAACCTGTACGAGCCAGCCAATAACTTCTTTTCTTTTTGTGCTTCCGTAGGAATAGCCAGATGGGAGCTTGTATACGTAACCAAAGTTTGTGTATGAATTGGAATAGGACCCAGCATTGTTGGCGATATAAATGTCATGACCACCTCCAAATGTTGGTCCATAGTATGTATTTGCGTACATAGCGTATTGCTGATATCTGTAGATCGTGGATTTGAAAGGTTTTAGACCATCCTTGTTTTTGAACGAGAAAATAAAGGAATTTGATGCCCTTATGTAACGACTACTTCCTATAATTAAAGAGAATTTCACAATAAAAATTTAGTTGGATGCTCCTTATACAGAGATAGCTCATACTGCTTATCTCTCTCCATGGAAAAATCCAACGACTTTTTGAAAGTCAACGTGTTGTATGGCTATCTATGATTTTGTCAAGATTTGTTTAACGATTCCAACAATAAGCCGATTGCAAAAGCATCAGAAAATAATGCTGGATTTCGTAAATTGAGTGAAAAATCAATGAAGCGAAAACTTTTGCATTTCGCTTTCATCTTTTTTCACATAATACTCAATAAAAACTCTCCTGACTGACAGTGTAATCCTTTCCATTTATTTTTACGTCTTTATTTTCAATAATTTGACCGAAAATAGTTTGTAAAACAGTTGCAAATCTTGAGCAAGATCATACTTTTTGTTTACAATTTTCACATGAGCAATTACGTCGCCTACAGATAATTTTGAATACTTTGTAGGTGGCAAGACATTGACAATTATAACATTGACCAAGGTTTAATATTTCTTGATATAATGCGAAAGTCAAATTCAATAATTGTTTTACTGTAGAAACTATTATTTGTAGACATGACGTCATACTTACAGATTTCGAGAATTATTTGCAGGTAGTTGACCAATCTCAACCGATATTGTTTAACTTGTGAATGATAATGTTGATTACTTGTAATTTTTCAATAGTCGGAGCTCGAAAATTTTTGATGATTTATCTTTGTTCATGCGTTTCTATTGTAAACATTTCGTAGTTTTTCTTAGTTAATATTGGCATACATGCATGAGTTAGCCGAAATGAAAAAGTTTTCAAGCAATTTGTATTCATAGATACATGCATAAGCTATTAAGTCTAAAATTCCTTTCTACTTGCCATTACGTCATTTACAAGATAAAAATAGTTTTCTGTGTTTTGTTTATACTATTAGCTTAACACAGCTACAATTATACAGTTGTCTAATTTTCTCAAGCTTACCACCTCCCCAAGATTGCGATGCAAATCCCCCAAACACATACGATCCTTTTTTGATAATGACTAGTGTTGGTCCCTTCGAGTCACAACGACTGTGGAATTTGTTTGAGCTCCAACCATTCACGGTTGCTCTGTAACAGAGCACCGTCTTATGACCTCTTAAGTTCGATGGCAGCCATTTTTGAAGCTGAGTTATCCATTGCGGCTTATTCTTTAGAATGCTCGAGTTCCCCAGGATGTTTGCTAGGAATGACAATAAAATCATATATGAACCTTTTGTAAGCTTAGCTTTAAGCCGGTAGCTTTAAGTACGACCTGTTTTAGAAACATAAAACATCAAGAAACTGTCATTTGATACAAGTTGACGTTTGTGGATGAAAGCAATTAAGAAAACTTATTATTAGCTTGGCAATGCTCTTTTTTACAAAACTTAAAAGATTATTTTATCAATTTACATTGCCATAGGCATAGCACATTGCATGGTTTCAAATTAACATAACTTGACTTTTGGACTGTAAACAAATCATCTAAGTTGTTGACACTTATTGCCAAAGAGCACGTGACTGTGGCCCATTCATTCATACGTGTTCATGTTACTGTTTAATATTTGCTGACCGCATAGCTTTTAATAAACAAATCAATTGTGTCACATCTTCCATTCTCTAAATAAACCTGGTAGCTTTACGCCCCTGTGGCTTAGATTGGAATAAACATTTGAAAATTTCATTCCATTTTGTACGTTCATATATCATGCTTTTATACAGAACTATTGTGCAGTCATTAGTGTTCAGATCCATTTTATATTAATTGATCTATTTCTGTAATTATGAGCCCATATTATGTTTATATTGTGGTTGTCAACTTACATGAATTAACACATAACAACTGGTATGCATCCTCAAACAACTTTACTTCCTTCTTAATATCGTCACAGCAACCCCGAGGGAGATTGTTTCCTGATGCACATAGAGATGCAAAGGCCTTTTTCTTTTATTGCACCAATTCCTCAACTCTATCGCAGCATATGCTGTCAGCGATGTTCGTAGAAATTGTTAGGACACAAAAGATCACAACAAATATCCACTTGCTCGTCATGCTAAATTACATTGAGAAATAGAACGTCATTGAAATCGTGTTTTGATTATAAGCAGTGTATTGAAAAGAGTGCTCTTAGTTATGATATGCAGTATTAAATTCCTTTGACATCTATTGTTTTCGACGAATTATTAAATGCATAATAGAATATGACCCTCCTTTCCCCCCTCCCCCCAAAAAATACTGATTTTCCTACACCTATGATATGGTTTGACGAGATTCTTTGTGTTAAAATTTTTCGTTATTTTACGTTCACTGTCATTTTCTGAGACGACAATGCTTATGATAGTTGGAAAATATTGCCGAGTCTTTACTTTGATGGCCATGGTGAAATTTTAGTAACCATCAACAAGATGCAAAATGTGTCGTGCAGCTAGTTCTCCCTGTGCACATTATAAAATTTAACGTTTATTCAAATTCAACATTCAACATTCACGGGTTAAATTGCACTTTGATAATAAATACTACGTTAAGTATCACGACTGTAGCGGATCAAGCGTTCCTCAAAATACATTATAGATGATTAATTTTAAATTCAAAATACCTTCAGCACAAAACTGTTGGTTATCGATTTTAAAAAATAAAACTTTACCAATGAAGTTTCCTCAAAAGTATTCGGAAATATAAATAAAACCAAAAATAAGGTGCAGTCATTTATTTTGATGTACCTAAATTCGCAACTATATTACGAGATTGATGAAACAAACTTTCCCATTCAATGATATTGAAAGTTATATAGCTACAACTCAAAGTTAATGTTAGCTAATATCAAAAGTAAATTATATGAGGTTCGAAGTTATTTTCAAAATAAAATATTTCAGGCTGCACACTCACAGTCGCTCATTTAAATTTGCATATTTAAGACTGAACACTTATATCAAATGCTACTATGCAACTTTTGTAAGCATTTTTATGCAGGGGCGGATCTAGGAATTTTCAAACATCAGTCATAAAACGCCAGAGGCGCTCCGCACCTGGGGGGGTCTGAGGCATTCTCCCCTGAGAAATTTTGAATTTCAGAGCCTTAAAAATGCCATTTTCAGCGTTTTAGAGCAATACAAAATGTATTTTGTGGGCATCGTTTTTGCGTAAACACAACACATCTTGCTTACGTTTTTTTCAAAAAAAAAATGAAGTGAACAATACTTAAATGTTTTGCCAAATATTTAGGCTCATTATCATGCCAAATATATGGCTCATTAGCATGTCTAGGAATGTAAAATTTATTTTACAATAATGCTATTCAAAAACAGATGTAGTCTTTAAAAATTTCTACCAAGTTGTCAGGCATAGACCCCCCTAGAGACTCCCATTCAAACCTCTATGTAATGAGTTAAATTAGAAATTTGGTACGACAAGTGACAGTTCATATATAGAGAAAAGCTCAGACTTCAAATCATGCAAGTTTATTGTAACCCTTTACCCATCTCCACATCAGTGCCAGCAAATTCACCTTTTGAGAAAAAACTCAAAATTTTTTTCTGCCAAAGATTAAGCAAAAATTATCAGAGTGAAAATTTGCAGTTAAGGACAGCTTAATGCCATAAATGTTTATTAGGCATTTCACTAGACTATTATCTTCTGCAAGGTGTGCTATATAGCAATCACTAGTAGCATTGTATTATCAAATACAAACAGAATGTAACCAACATATCTTTAATTATATAATTACATGAATGTTAAAATTGGTTCATGTGTCATGCTTACTGGTTACGATAAATATCTTTTCATATGATCAAAGCTCGTTTAAATGTAAATCTGAAATAATTTAGTTTAGAAATTATACTGATCATCAGAAAAATTACCTAGTGATCATGAAAAATACTTTGCTGTTTTGCCAAATTTCAAGGTTTATCTGCATACATAGGAAGACATTTTTACTTTATAGAAAATGCTTTTCATACATCAATAGCCCTTTGGAATTTATGGCAAACCATCTGGTATGAGCCGTAGATTAACACACCTTTACATCTCTACATGAGGTGTTCAGTTAGAAAAGGGGACAATATGTGACATGGGACAACATTTCATGTATGTGAAATACTCAGGTTTAATACCATTCCAGTAAAATTGTCAAAATAAAAAGCTTCATGGATCAGAAGACTCAAAATCACAGGTTATAGTAAACAGCTTCTCATGTAATCAATGTTAGTTTTCTCAAATCTTAAACAATATGTAATATAACTGTCCAATTGTCAAAATAAAAAGCTTCATGGATCAGAGGACTCAAAATCACAGGTTATAGTAAACAGCTTCTCATGTAATCAATGTTAGTTTTCTCAAATCTTAAACAATATGTAGTATAACTGTCCAATGATTGAATGATCAATGATCATAAACTGAAAAGCCCCAAACATTTGTTTATGATAAAGTAAATAGTAGTATGGCGCCTTATGGCTACAGATTTTTTGTCCATTGAAATATATTTGCAGGAATGTAGGATTTCGCTGCCTATAACGGTCACGATTCCCAAGCACTAAGGAAATCATAGCTAAAAGTCCTTCGGCAACAACAATTTTAGAAGCATCAATCTGCTTACCATACGCCATATTAACATAAATCGCATCACACACTCGCATAAATTGACTTTGATATATTACATTCATGCATACACTTCAGTTGTCCTTTACTTACGATTTTGGATGTAAATTTCTGCTGGTAAAACTCAAAACAATGTTGGCTTGCTTTTGAACATCAATGACTAAAATGTCGCTCGCGAGATCGTCTTTGCCAAGCATTTACAATTCATCCATAAATTTTTCACCCTGTTGAAAAAATTCCCAGTTTGGAAAGCAGCATTCATGTCAATATATAAATTTGTAAAAGATTTCCATAAATTCCATCTGATTGT